CTTAAAATGTACTTAAATTTCGCCAGTCTAAGATCTGTATTTTCAAAGAGAGATTCCTCGAAACTGTGGAATAGGAAATGCAGCTGATTTAAATAAATAATTAATAATATTAGTTTTTAAAAAGGATCTTTCAGAATTAGCCCAGAACTGAAACTGTCAGATTTCATAGTGAAATCTGATCACTATGAATCTTTTTCACAGACAAAAATCAGTGAAACAAAATGTCTGCTCCTGAAACTCCAGCCCAGGGCACTAATCCAATGGAATAGAATTGGTAGATTTCAAAGGATAGTACTCTATTTTTCCTTACCCTGCTCTGTGCAGCTTCACAGGAGCATGTGCTTTACACCAAAAGATTAGAAAGCAAACAGCAACTTTCACAAGTGTTGGAATACTTCGAGTTGAAAAGTCAGATATTTGCAGAAACACCAGGTAGTAATGTTGCATCCCTACATCCCTTACCACAGTCCATAAGAAGACAACTAGGAAAATAACCTTTTTTTTCTTTTTAAAAAATCCCAGAGGAGACCTATTGTTTTGACTCTTCGATTGCAGCTGACACACTTGGCATTTGAGATATGGCACTTGAAAACACAAGCAGGACAAAAGCAGAAGCATTATTTTATGGAAAATTTCAAAGGTAATAGGCCACTGAAGTAATAATCTTATGCTTTCTTCAAGGAAGTGAGGTAGATGGAGCCTAAATGAACTATATGGTTTGAATCCAAGCTGCATGAAATTTGGCACACCTGTAGTTTTAAACTGGCATCTAGAGCAGCTTGGGTTTTGAAAAATAAACACACACTTATTTTTTCCTGAAGGACTCTCAAGTCGTGAAAACAGTAAGCAGGTCTTGCTATAGAACATATAGAGTGAATGATTCCTTTGTTAGACTGGGATATTTTTTGGGTTGTTTGCACCTCAGCTTTCCTGATAAGACTGCAGGAAAACTTCCCAGTGCATTTTCCCTGCAAAATGAGGCAGATGCTACGGCAGCTGGGACACTAACTCATAGTACACAGCCATGAGGTAGTACTGACTGGCTGTGTGACTGCAAGGTGAATGCTGCAGACTGAAGGACTACTCAATCCACAGCCAATCAACTGAGCAACTCTTATTTATTGTACTTCACTGTTTCTGATTCCCTAACACAAAGGTTCATACATAGCAGCTGTCTCCCTCAGTGACCAAGGGAGTCAGTGACCAAGACTACCAGGATGCAAATATGACACAGTCCTTCATGTGCTGGCAAATTCATCCTGTTCAGCCTAGGACCTGAGATGAGCAAGCAAGCAAGCATTACCTTTGTGGCCATTGCCTTCCTGCCTCTGTCTCGCAAAACCAGCTAGCCTGCAGGGGAACGTCCAGCACTCAGTGGAAAGGAATAGCTGAAATATTCAGAGGATCCTTTCCTTACAAAGAAAGCAAGTATCCATTTATGGGACAGAATCAAAATTCTGTGGCTCTGCTTTCTGGACCTCTCAGGAGAGAGAAAAGTCATTGTTACTCAGTGGACAGTGAAAATTTCTCCCCATTTATTTCCAATGCCAAGCCGATGGAGAAAAACTTTTGTGGAAACTTTTATTGAACAAGACATGAACTTCTTAGAGGTTCTTTCATTTCTGTTGGTCTTCTAGACCATACTGGAATTCAAATAATCTATCTGATTTATTTGGGGGGTTGTAAAATACCACAGGTAGAAGTGAGAGGAAGGTGGAGAAAAGAATCCTAAGATACAATGGATATATTTATTTTTTTAAGAACTATCGTTGCTCTCTTCTATGCCCCCACCCCTGGCAAAGGTGAACTGCATATCTTTAGTTAATAATTAACTTGTCATGAGCTCCATCAATATCCCATCATCTAAGTGACAGAGGGAAGGGAGGCGATGGGGGAGGTGATCAGCACGACGTGCCAGCTCTGCCCGCAGCCTGCGATCTCGTCTCGGCCATAATAAATAGGATGAAATGCGCTCCTGATAAATGCCCATGTCATGGAGAGATTTTACCTTCACTCAGAAACAATGTAATATCTCAGCTATTACCCAAAATAATTTATCAATGTGTAATAGCTTTGTGCAGAGCTCAGATAGGAGGGGAGCAGCGCTGCCCGAGATGGATGGATCCTACCTTCTGCTTTTAATTTTTAATGCTCGTAGGCAGCTTCACATTAAAGGCCAGGTGTCATATATAGACTTAATGTAAGAATGGAGTTCATGAATTCTAATCAGGAGAGAATCTCCCTCTCTCTTCTCTTGCTTTAGTCACTTCTCTTTTTTTTATTTATCAATTTTCCTCTCTTTCTGTACTCCCATCTTCTTTCCTTCTCTCTTTTGGTCCATTCCTTTCCCCCTATTCTTCATATACATTATACTCCCTTTCTCTCTATCAAAACCATTTGGGTAGCTATTTGCTACTTCCAAAAACTGTATCATCACTTAAGGATGGAACAGAAGACCAGATCAACTTCTGCCTTAGTCCTGGTGTCATCATTTGCACCCAGAAGAACAAACTCCACACAGGTACTAGGCCAGAATATTAGCACTTTATGTTCAGGCAAAAAACCCAGCAGAGTAGTGATCAAGAGTAGAAAAATCTGGACTGTCGCCACCAACATTCAGAGTGGAATTATGTTACTGAAAAGATCCTGGCTGTAAAGGCCCATCCCATATCCCAGCCAAATCACATACCCCTGCAAAGAAAGATGCTCCTTTAACTGGCAAGAATACAGCACTGGGATGTGCAGATCCAAAAAGTGCTGTATTCCAAGGTCTTATTTTCCTAAGATTTCTAGTCTCCTCATAGCCATGTCAGCAACATAACACTCCTCTTCACTTTCAACATTATGCCCCCAGTTGGGGCCCGTATCAGAGGAACCTATTCAAGCATCTCTGTAATTGTACGTAAAATCTCCAGTATGGACAACAGGCAATGCCAGGAAGTACTATAATTAAAAATACACCATTAGGGCTCACATTAGAAATACCATTATTGTATCAATACACTACATCGAAGTATGACGCAGCGTCTGGGTGAGACATACCTGAAAGGAACAGCAATGTATGACAGCACTCAGCTCTGAGCAAAGAATAGAGCTGTAGGAAGGAAGGGGGGAGCACCACTTACTGGCCAGAACGTGCAGCAAGGGACAACAAGGCAGTTAATACAAGCAGCAGACACAAAGATCAAGGAAGAGCCACAGGCTGTAAAAAAGGAAGAGATCGACTGTTTGGACCACAGCCTTTGTTTGTGCTCCGATGTGAAGGAAAATAAAAGCACACCAAGGCAATACTGCCCACAGGAGGAGCACTGCCAGAGCTGCAAACCCTTTTACAATCACTTTGCTGACTTGCAAGTTATGAGGATACTCTTGCTGAGAGGAGTTTGGGCTTGATTTCCTGCTTTATGTTAACAGCTTGGTTTGTTGGTTGACAATGCAAGGACCACAATCTGAGTCACTCTCTGGAATTCCTTCAAAAAAAAAAAGGACTCCTCTTGTGTCTAAAGACCAGGATGGCATAAAAAGGCTCTGCTGGTGCTGCTCTGATGTCCCTTTTAGTGGACAAACAGAGGACAACCACCTTCAGCTGTTGCATTGTCAGTGAACTATTTCTCTTTTCCTCACCACTCATCTTTCTTTCTAGAACATAGAGAAATTAAGACACAGGCCATTTATTCTCTTGTGGTACTCAGCATATTCCTCAGCCTACCAGAACAACACAGCAGAGTTCTGTTCTCAAGCACCAAATTCACTACAGGAACAGTCCATAAGAAACTTTCATTTCTTGTTTCTTACCTTCTACAAAGATTGGTCTGGGAACATTCCTCTGTTTTCACCTTACTCCTTCCCAGCTCTGCACACAGTTCTGGAGATCAGATCTGTCCCAGCCAAAACAAGCAGCATGCCCAAAACTTCATTGGCTTAGCATTGGTTCTCATGAGGTGGTTGGTCAAGGGAAAAGGAAGGCTGGTGTCCCATTGTGACAAACCCACTTCGCACCCTAAGATAGCCATGTCAGCAACATAACACTCCTCTTCACTTTCAACATTATGCCCCCAGTTGGGGCCCGTATCAGAGGAACCTATTCAAGCATCTCTGTAATTGTACGTAAAATCTCCAGTATGGACAACAGGCAATGCCAGGAAGTACTATAATTAAAAATACACCATTAGGGCTCACATTAGAAATACCATTATTGTATCAATACACTACATCGAAGTATGACGCAGCGTCTGGGTGAGACATACCTGAAAGGAACAGCAATGTATGACAGCACTCAGCTCTGAGCAAAGAATAGAGCTGTAGGAAGGAAGGGGGGAGCACCACTTACTGGCCAGAACGTGCAGCAAGGGACAACAAGGCAGTTAATACAAGCAGCAGACACAAAGATCAAGGAAGAGCCACAGGCTGTAAAAAAGGAAGAGATCGACTGTTTGGACCACAGCCTTTGTTTGTGCTCCGATGTGAAGGAAAATAAAAGCACACCAAGGCAATACTGCCCACAGGAGGAGCACTGCCAGAGCTGCAAACCCTTTTACAATCACTTTGCTGACTTGCAAGTTATGAGGATACTCTTGCTGAGAGGAGTTTGGGCTTGATTTCCTGCTTTATGTTAACAGCTTGGTTTGTTGGTTGACAATGCAAGGACCACAATCTGAGTCACTCTCTGGAATTCCTTCAAAAAAAAAAAGGACTCCTCTTGTGTCTAAAGACCAGGATGGCATAAAAAGGCTCTGCTGGTGCTGCTCTGATGTCCCTTTTAGTGGACAAACAGAGGACAACCACCTTCAGCTGTTGCATTGTCAGTGAACTATTTCTCTTTTCCTCACCACTCATCTTTCTTTCTAGAACATAGAGAAATTAAGACACAGGCCATTTATTCTCTTGTGGTACTCAGCATATTCCTCAGCCTACCAGAACAACACAGCAGAGTTCTGTTCTCAAGCACCAAATTCACTACAGGAACAGTCCATAAGAAACTTTCATTTCTTGTTTCTTACCTTCTACAAAGATTGGTCTGGGAACATTCCTCTGTTTTCACCTTACTCCTTCCCAGCTCTGCACACAGTTCTGGAGATCAGATCTGTCCCAGCCAAAACAAGCAGCATGCCCAAAACTTCATTGGCTTAGCATTGGTTCTCATGAGGTGGTTGGTCAAGGGAAAAGGAAGGCTGGTGTCCCATTGTGACAAACCCACTTCGCACCCTAAGAAAAAACGTCCATAAAATATGTTAAAAACAAGTTTTAAGAAACAGTCATTGCATATTTGATAAAAGACAAGACTCGGCTTTGTATTCAGCTTTTTGAATGTCAGAAAAAAAGACTGCAAATCTTTGGAGAGCAGACCTGAAAAATAAGAGGGTGGAAAGCCAAAGCTGTATTGCTGGGCCATAGTGTGGTACTTCAGGGTACAGGGAATGCGTGGCTGCCTGTGGGCAGAAGCTCTGGAAACTTCAGGCTGTCTATGAAGATTCCCAGTTTTTCTAGGAACACTTTATGAAGACTGCCCAAGCCCTCATGTCTTACTGAGCACATTTTGCTGCTCTCCGCCTGTGTATCAATGTAGCACTGCAAAGGCAAAACACTAGCATCCCCTGCTGCAGCAATCTTAGGATACCCTCTGTGATATACAGTTATCTGAACTAATAAGGAGGAAAGATGTTGTTTGAAGAGGACAGAAAGATAGCCTTACCTCCCCTGAATACCACTCACTTAGTGGCTTTGGCCTGGCTCCAAGCCAGGAGGAGAGCAGCATGCCCTTGTCTGTGTTGAATGAAAGCCTATTGCCAGCTGCCAAATAGCTTCAGGCAGACAGTGACTCCGAGGTCCAAACTAAGAGCTCTAAACTCATTCATTCATGGGCCAGGATCTTTCCTAACCCTAGGGGGGTGTGATAGAGAAAAAAGAGATACGTCCCCCAGGTAACTGTCTCTTGCATCACACAGCCTGAGCCTAATAAGGGTCTATTGCTGTCTCATTCCATTGCTAACACTGTGACTCTAACTGCCGTGTACTACAAATTAATTCATTCCTTCAGGCCTTGCTGTTCAGTAACTGGCTGTCACAGCAATCTCCCGAGGAGCTAATTGAGAGTTGTGATCCGTGCAGTATTTCCATTAGTGCTGTAATGACAAGCAGCCAGACACACACACATGCATGCTCGCACACACACAGCACAGGTTCCTCTGTCCCCACAAAGGGAAGCAGATAACAAGCCAGAGCCATCTCAAGTGCTAAGCAGCAGCTGGGAGGAAAGGAAAACAGAAGGAACAATTTCCATGATTCAGACTGAGGTCACCCTAATTTTGCCTGAGTGAGAGCAACTTGCTGGGAGCTCAAGACAAGCTTCTAATTCACATTAGTGGAGTAAAATCTTTTACATACACCTCTTCTGTACAGTGGCACTGTTCCCAGAGACTATAAATCCCACCCAACAGGTCTCCTCTATTTGAATGGCCTTCCCCATTGCATGGTGGGACCTGTAGTCTCCATAGAGATGCTTCTTCAATAAGGATGATTACAGTTGTAGTTGCACGTAATACTGGAGAAGCTACTAATATTAGAGTCACACAGTTTCTGCTTAGCAAACTAGAAGAGGTGTTAATTTGGCAAGAATGTATTTGATCAGTTATGATGTGGTTCATTCAGGAACCTGGATAGCTCAGGCATGAAGTCTGTTTATGAACTTAGTCTCTTTTTTATTTGTTTTTCCTTTCATGCCTAGTTTCCAGAGAATTAGCAGAAAAACATTAAATACAGCACCTCCTGTAGCTGTGCCACCAGCTGGTAAAGACTTAGCCATCTTAAAGGACGTGTTTTATGTCCTAGCTGGACTACATCCTCACAGTCCTCATCCAGAAAGCACAGGACATGCAATTCCATGCTGTCATTGATGATTATTTAGCAGAGTTAGTGTTCTCTTGGGGTTTTTTCCACTTTTTGAACTAACTCTAGAATTAGCACTACCATATATGAGGCCTTGTCTATGTACAGACTTAATTGTCTTAGAAATTGGTCAAATTGATGCAGACTAGTTCAGTAGGCACTTTCCACTGAGCGCTTTATTAATTCCAAAGCTGTGGCCAGTTTCTTTATAAATTAAAGACAGTTTCAAAGTCTGTTATCAATGGGAAACCAAATCACTACAATTATTTTGAATGACAATGAACCAATCCTTTAAAAATGTTGTCTGGGTTTTGGTCTTTATAGCCTTAAAAAAAAGAAAAAAAAGACTATTTAGAGTTTCCCTAGTAATTAAAATTCTGTGCCATTTTAAGTATCTAAGCAACTCAGGATGCTTTAGCAAGTGAATTATTTCAAAGTGATCTGTGTGATTATCATAGCAGCCAGCCAGATCTAAGTTGCTCCAGTCACCCTTAAATTGGGACTGTTGCAATGGCAGAAGTAACTCAGCCTTGTGTAAGGACGAAGTTCATGCTGGGGCACTCTCAAAGGGTGAAGATCCCCTTGCTGGCGCCTGGACTGCTCTCACATAGTCCCAGGTTTCCAAAGGCAGCTTTTTGGCAAGGGAATGAGCTACAGGTTCTTCAATTGTGAAAGCACAATATGCTACTCTGGCTACTAGTGCAGTCCAGCTTTATAAAAATACCTAGGGAAGATACCTATTCAAGGTACACAAACAGCCTTTAGGGCTCAGATAGAGGATTATGCTACTGAGCCTTAAGAAGTCATGGCATATAATCTTAGCTTGATAATTGAGCACGTGCATGCTCCTGGCATGTGATAAATGCAAGGTCACTTGACTTAACCTAGGAGAAGACAGCATTAAGTGGAATTACCCCATGTCTGCTGCAGGCTAGTTGTGCACACAGCTGTTACCACAGCTCAGCTGATACATAGCAATTTGTTCAGTTGTGCTAAATGTTACTGCATTTACAAACCCCGATTCTGCCCTCTTGTGACAATATCACAGGAAAATGAGGTTCTTTTAAAAGTCAGATGAATTTGATAAAGGAAACACAAAAATTTCAAAAACTTTCACAACAGTGAAGTGCCTCTGGAAAGTAGGATGTTCTGAAATATCCATGTAGACCCATACTGTACTGTATATAACTGTAATTACCATTTTCAATTGGATATAGCAGCAATAGACATAAAAAAATCCCAGGGGGACACAGTGGAAGGCAACAGAATGGGTGCATCTGCCTTTTCTGCAGACAATCAAACTGAAAGCTCACACCACACCAAGAACAGACCCTACCATCACTCATGGCAAGCTTCTGAAAAAAGACAAGAGGATGTTAGTGAAGAAAGTTCCAAAAGCTCAGGGGCAGAGGAGATCCTGGAAGAGACCACACAGCCCATTAGGGTATGGTGTGTCCTGGGGCTTCTTTTCAAGGGTCATTCAGGGCAAGCCCAAAGAATATGCAAAGTGGGCATAAAGCTTATCTCTGTTATTTATGATGGGAAAGCTGTGGTATAAGTGGAAATGGCCCTGAGTTCTGACTAATAACTTGTTACAGAAATACTATGTGCCACAGAATAGCTTTGCCTTCTGTGAAAAGTATAAGTCACACTTTTTCCCTTAAAATGTGATACAAGATGGTTTCCAGGTGAGAGGTGGGGGTGGAGTGTGGACATACAAGTAGTGATTTATTCCAGACTATCTTTAACTGAGTACCTGGGGGGAGCTTCCAAAATGAGGTGACTCATTTAGTGAGCAAACTGATCAGCAAACTGATCTCTTTGTAACTCTGTCATACCAGCACACATATAGTTACACAGAAGGACAGAATCACCCCAAACAACCTGAGTCAAGTCCTGTGGCTGTATAATATGTGAAAGAAGCCACTTGTTCATGTCAGAATTTGACATCCTCATGGTCTCCACGCACAACATAATTCTGGGGCCTGAGCATTTTGCTGCCAGCAAGCCTCAGTGTTCTGTGTTTCCTACAACATAATCCTGTCAATATTTGCACTAGTTTTTTCCCGTGGCTCCCCAATGCTTGAAAATATTATGTTTTTTACAGAGGAAGACCTCAAGCCTCTCAAACTTTCAGTACTCACTGCACTGTTCTGTTCAATCATTCAATCACATTTCCATAGCCTTTACAGGAATGTTCTTGCAATAAGCAATGTAGTCACAAGCAGAACATGTGCTGTTCCGCAGCTCAGTCATGGGCTGGGGTGGGCAGAAGGGGAAGCACACAGGGACTCACTTGGTACATTGGCAAACAAAGAGCATTTGTACACACAGGCTCAGGGAAGTCTGGTAAATTCACGCAAGTTGTAGGGAAAACCAATTACTAACAAGATTTTTTTCAAGTTAGTGCAACACAGAGAACTCTGGGCTGTACCTCCAGAGATCCTAGTGTGAAGCTTGGGTTGGTGAGCACATGCACAGCTACTGTCTGTGAGCAGAACTGCCATGCTCCCTCCTGGAAATATCTGGCATATCATGTACTGACAGCATACCTGAGGGGCAGCTGTATGGATGGCAACATGGAAATGCCCAAAGGCAAAACAATGAAACAGGTCTGTGATACTCTCTAGTCTCTCTGTGACTTCTCTAGCAATGCCCAAGTCTGTTGTTGGCTCCATACATCTGACACACAAAACTGAGAAACTGGATACAACTAATGTGGAGCTGCACCAGCAGAAAGCGGATATGGCCACTAAAGCCCCTTCACACCACACCTTCTCCAGAAAACCCAGGACAGCCCCAAGGTGCAATACTTGCCTCCGCTCAAGAGGTCCCTGCAGCTTGTGTTTGATGGAAGACACCTGTCTACCCTGTGAATAGACCTGCTATTCCTGTGAGAACAGGGATCTTGAGAGAGGAGTTGTCCTGATGCAGCAAGCTCATCAAATAATTTGGAAGGAATCTTTGGAGCACCATCTAGTCCAGTCATGAAGTGGGACTACTACCACCACTAGAACATGTCAGCTGTACCTTTGTCTAGATGACTCTTGGAAACTTCCAAGGATGGAAGTTCCACCATATCTATGGGTAACGTGTTTCACTGCAGCACAGGCCCTCTGGGGAAGTTTTACCGATGCCTAATTTGAATATCCCAAGACACAGTATGTACTGCTTGCCATAGCTGGCAGAAGCCCAAGTCGTATCTGGACTTTTCTAAAGATGGTAAGCATAAAATGAGCAAAAATAAGCAAACATTTGGAAACAGGCTCACAAAAACAGTGTATAAACTCATTTGTCCTGCTGCCTGAAACTCAGCACTA